CGGAGTGGGGTGGCGCGGGGCGGGGTGTCGGCTCTTGGGGCCTCGGCAGCGCCTGCGGGGCCCTTCTCCCCTGAGCGCTGAGACGCGGGTCCGGGTTTCGCGGTGGATCGGCGGCGACCACCTCTGCTCCTCCCGAGGGTCCGTGTGGGTGCGAGACCCCTCAGGCTGTGCCTGGGCTTCTCAGAGGGGCGAGGGCAGGCACAGGGCACCGTGCAGGTGCCTCCGCTGCCTGCGCACAGGCGACCGGAGGTTTGGGATCAGGAGGAGCCCGCAGCTGCGGGTGTGCTTGTTGCGGGAGGAGACGCTGCCCTTGCTCATTGTTGCTGCTTTCCTCAGGTGTCGGGGCCGGTGCTGGCAGCGCTCAGGCCTTCAGGCACAGAACGGCTCCATTCTGGCTGATAAAAGAGTAAAGAAGAGGAGGACCGAGAAAGATAGCCTTTGGAAGCTGAGTGAACCCTGGGAGGGGGACACTGCAGGGAGCCCCAAAGAGAAGAAGAAGAAGAAGAGAATAGTGACAATAAGGGAAAGAGAGGACTGAGAGCCAAAGCTGGAGCTGGTGAAGAAGAGAGGAGGAGATTTGTTTCAGGCATTGCCAGGGGAGGTCCTTGACAGGATCAGGCAGAGCCTGGTTATTACAGGGAGTGGTACAACTGTCATGACAGCTCTCCAGCACAAAAAATGTGCTGTGGGAGAGTAAGTTACAGAGCTGCCTTCTGTCTCCGTCCTGAATCTTGTTCCAGTGCATGTTGGTCTGCAGGGCTTGCTGCTATCACTCTTACCCGCTTGGTAGTCACAGCGAGCAAGCCCTGAGGGATATCTGGTGACAGCTCTGTCCTTCGTGACTAGGCAGCATCTCTGCAGGAGCCCCACGCAGATCCCGACACTGGGTCACTGCTGCATTGCTGTGCTCCTGAGCAAGTTTTCCCCGAGAAAATAAAAACTCTCTTCTTTTCAGACCCCCATCTTGTCTGTTACAGTGCCGTGCCATATTGATGATGTCCAGAATGTTTTAAAAATTGGGGTTTGTGTCTTTTTATATAGCCATATTGCTGTTTCACTTTGATTACATTTGTTTGTGAAATTAGGGGTTTGGTTTTTTGTTTTACTCACAGCATCCAAACAGCTGCAGACTATAAAACACACAGTGGACATTCCCTTGCCATATCTCCCCCTGTGTGTGTGTTGCTGCTGTTCAGGAGGCAGAGTGGGTGCCTGCAGAGGCCCCTGGCATCTGTTGGGATGTGGGATTGGCAGTTCATGGATGTTCACTCACTGCAGGGTGGGTGCTATCCCAGGCACTTACAGATAGTTCTTTCAATAACTTAATAAATAAAAATTACATCATATAAAATACGGTCACATGCCAAAGGCCCTTCTCATTATTGACTGCTGAGTACTAGTCTCAGTTAAAATTGATGATGGTCAGCAGAGCATACAAAAGACAATGTCACAGAGAGAGGGACAGCTTTGCAGCTTCCAGGTTTGACATATCTTTTCACGAAGGCAAGTTTGACATTTAAAGGCTATTCAAGACATTTAACAAGTCTCTGATTCTTCATCTTTTGATCCCTGGTATGATTCTTTTCCTATTCAACTGCCTGTCCTTCAGCCTTCATGTCTTAAAGGATTTTATTGGGTGAAAATTAAATAATGAGCTGTGACAGAGAAAGGTGAGAGGGGACACAGGGATGCTAAGTCCTCAGCACAGAGTAGAGTTATGGATATTGTGCTGCAGGCACCCTTGTCCTTCTGGTTTCTCATCTTTAAATTTCATTCTTCTGTTTCTGTCTGTGATGTCTGACCCTTGCATATGGCTCTTGATTGCTTTCCTGCGTTTCCTGTCCCTGATAATGAACTTCCCTTCTTGCTTAATCTCCTGGATTTTTGCTCTTACTCCCCTCCTGGGGAGAGGCGAGTCTGAGGGGCATTTCAGTAGTCTGAAATTGTTAAGAAGATAGTGAGGTGGGATGGCAGGGAAAGAGCCATGAAACTGTTGAAAGTTTGATTCTAATGCACAGAATGAGTTTGTAGCACCTTCTGCTGTGTCTCGTAGCTTGTGCCAGTAGAGTGGTGTGACAGCAGTACAGTGAAACAGGACATCCTTGCCTCCTTGTTTCTGGAGTGAAATGAAGGGTGGTTGCTTGGATGCATTTAAGACTGAGCTATATTTTGCTTTTAACTAAGGATTTATCTACATAAAGCTCTGTTTAGTTTTTGGCAGAGATGTCAATGTGCAAGGAATATCTCTGGCTGTATCCTGTGGGTACGTGATTTTCAGTATAGTTTGAGACCAATTTGTAGACACAGCTGTCAGGAAACCATCTTTTCTATGTAAAATGCATGAGCTTCACTGAGCACTAAACGAACTGCATTGTATGGCTGTGCCATTTACTGGTGCTGGTGAACTGGTGAAGTATTGACTATTTTGTAGTGGGTTTAAAATGCCTTATTAAAACAATGTTTTAAAAAGTCACTGCAAAGCAAAACCTCCAGTGCAAGCTTCATGGCATGTATTTTGATTGGGACTTTTGGCAGCTGTAGCTCCTGCCTGGGCCCACCTTTTTTACCATGCAGTGCTGATCATGGCTCCTTGGGTTCCTCGAGTAATCCAAGGCTTCTTACCCAGCTGATTCAACTCTCCCCCTTCTGGGCTCACTGTTGTTCTTCTGCTCTTCTCTCATTTTATCCCAGTCTTATCACTAAGTGATTCAGTCCTGCCTGCATCAGCTCACTTTGTGAGCCCTTGTTCACCAGCGGCCCCAACTCCAACTCCCTGCATTGCCAGTTTTTGCTCCCTGCTGTCATGCAGCCTCGGATGAACCCCTTTTTCTCCTTGATTTTATTGCTCAGCTGGCCCCCATCTCTCTTTTCCTAGCATCCCAACTGGTATCCATCAAATTACCAGCTGGTCTCCCCATTTCTTGTCCAGCCTGTTGTCTGCCCTTCCCTCACAATCTGCCAGCACATTCCCTTTTCCTCCCTGCTGAGCCAGAATCCTCTTCCAGAACTGACTTGGGTTTCTGTTAGATCTTCACCCACCTGCAGCACTGATTTCACCAAGCATCTTACTGTGATTCACTCTTTCCTCTCTCTGGTTCAACTTCTCTTCCCTTTACACTTGAATCAGCTGGTGTCTGCATGCAGTCCAGTTGAATTAACAGAAAAACATTTTCAAGGTTTGGGTCCTGTGATCCGGAACCACCATTTTGGGAAAGGTCTGGCTGCCCTGTAAGCTCATGACGGACTGTGGCAGTCTGACCTGGAGACACACAGCCTCGGAGAAGCTCCTGAGTGCCCAGGAGGGCAGACGGCACACCCAGCATGTGGCTGGGGCAGCAGTGATGGGTTCCAGTTGAGTTTTTCTGAGGTTTGGTTCTTTTGGCTTTGCAGGCAGTTATTAGACTATTGGAAAGTGATTTGGTTTTATAAACCTATTAAAAATCTGACTTTTAAGTTATTAGGTGTTTAAGCAGAACCTTTTAATCTCACTGTGTGACTCAAATGGGGAAAGCATTCCCGTGCAACTCTGCTTCTGCCTAGAAAGCAAGTTTTGTTAACTTGAGACAACCCCTAAAGCTCAGAAATAAAGTTTAGCTTGGGCATCCCGAACGTAGGGTCCCTGTGACATCCCGGGAAGTGGCTGGGATGAGCTGTGTGACGTGCAGACAGGCTCAGCTGCACTCAGTAGTCATCAGGTGCCTTGTAAACAGTTACCTGTATTTTGAACTGCATTGGGGTCTTGTTTATTCTCACCTGCCCTGGGAGGGGAAGGCAGCTCTTGTTTCACATTTCTAGCCTAACTTTATGCTAGAACATTTTACAGTCACTTATTATTGTGCCAGAATTGACTTTTAAGTAGTTTGTTTTTTGTCCCTGGTGCTTGATCTCTTGATATAGTTATGGCTTTTTTAGTCCTGTCCTAGAGTGGACCCTGCATTTCCTTGATCACCCAGCCCTCTTTCTCTGTATATGTTCCAGCTTGACACAATTTATGTTGCACAGGGATGACCAAGACAATTCACCCATCTCAGAGACACAGCAGGGCTTTTGCAGCTCGTGTTAGCACTTCCACTGTGGAGGTGTGCTGGAATCTGCCTGTTTGATCAAGCCAGGAAGGGCTTAAACAAAGACAACTGCTGAGACAATGAGTTTTTTCTTTTTTTTTCCCCCATTTATTAGAGCACTGTTCTGTAGTCCAGGCACCCCAGCAATGCATACTCTCGGAGTCCTCTGCCTTTAGTTACGCCGATCACTCGTGCCACTGAGACAGAGCTATAGTCAAAACTAAAGATGCCACTCTTCTTCCGTAAGAAGAAACCCAGCGACGATGCTCGGAAGCGCCTTGAATACCAAATGTGCCTGGTAAGCAGTGCCGAGATGTTTTCTGTTCTCTGTGTCTAGTCCTGGATGCCAGGCAAATGTCCCCTGCGTTACCTGTAGTCACATTACTGATCTCGCCAAGACAGCAGGTCATCTTCCTAATGAGATTCCAGAGAATTCCTGCTTTACTCATGTCCCTTTGCCCTCCCGTCCACAGGTCCCCTTCATGCCACTTGCATCCCTCTCTGCCGTTGTGGTTCCACATAACGTCCTCCACCTGCCAGCCTGCATATGGGACTCCATCCCTCCTTTCTCCTCCATGCCCCTTCACTCTTACAGATCTCCCAGATTTTTTCCTACCAAGGAAACTGTGACATCCCCTTTCCCATTGTAATTGACTTTCCTTGTGCCCCTTATGCCTCTCACTATTATTTTGTTTCTTCCTGTCATTCAGAGGATTTTATGGTTAGATGCTGCTGTTTGTTTTCCTGGACTAGGATTTGGCCAGGATCCTCTGGGGTCAATCCTCAGCAGATTGCTGTCATGCCAGTGGGGTCAGCAGAACTACCTGCCTTGCAGCAGTTGCAGATTTGAAGTTGGCTTCCTGAAAGCAATCTTCTTTTGAATTATGTCACCTATTCTGCTGTAGGAGCTGTGGACCAGTGCTAGCATAGGGGATCTGCTGTGCTCTACCTCAGAGGCACCTGCATTTTCAAAGTGACAAAATTATGCCAGTTGGATATCTGTAAGGTATTTTGGAAAGGAAGATTTTGTTATGTACCAACAATAAATGTATTCAGTTGGAGGTTTTCTGTTCAGCTCCAGTGGGGCTTGGGAAGGGTGCCTTAATCTGTCCATTCTAGGATTAGCTCTGTATTGCATGTGCTTAGTTTAGGGTCACATAGCCAGTTCTGAAGACTTAACAAGGGCACTAACACAAGCAGGTTTTATTGCGTTGTGTAGTAGCTTTTATTTAAGAAAATAATTCCAGAGATGCA